TAACATCCAAGTGAAAGATATAACACCTACATGTCAGGAAAAAAATAAAATAAAAAAACAGAATCACAACGTTGGAAAAAGGATCACCCCCCTCCTAAAAATGACTTGTAAACTCAATCAGGTGTAGACAATCACCTTCTCAATGCACACAAAGCCATTTGACTTTCAACTGTTATCATCTGTATTTTGATTAGCTCGGCATGAAAAGAGCTTTCCTGGAGCATTTCAGTCCTTGGTAGTGCAACTGAAGCAAACAATCAACTTTGGTTGGCAAGGCACCATCTAAAGATCTCTGGGATAAAGCTGTGGACAGGCACAAGTCAGGAGATGGATACAAAAAAGTTTCAAAGGCTTTATCAATGCCTTGAAGCACAGTGAAGTCTATTATTGAGAAGTGGAAGGTATTTGGTACAACACAGACCCTCCCTGGATCAGGACGTCGCTCCAAACTGGATGAAAGAACCAGGAATAGGCCATTAAATACAGCTGGATAAAACAAAAACTGTATCTGTCTTAATTTCAGGCTGCAAAGCAACAAAATGTGATTATTTAAAAAGGAGAGGGGTTATACTTTTCTATACCCACTGCATTTACAACAACCAAATGAATCTGAAAATCTGATTTTAGCAGTTTAGTGAGATTCTGGCTTGACAAATTAGTAGTAAACCGATGGCTTAGCCAGAGACACTGTATTTAACTTTATCTGAAGGACAAATTGGAAAGAAATACAGTCTGTCTTACGTTTGTGAATGCGTCACTTGTTCAGTCAACATTGAAAACATGTTGTTCCACAAATTTCCGAGCAATCCATTACCATTCATGGAGGTTGCACAATGAAAGTACGTAATATGAAATCTGCCAATTTGTTTATGGGCAGTCAGTTGCTAATATAGATTTTAAGCCAATTACCTGAGCCGTAAAGGCATAGTGATTAATAATTATGGTGCTTCAGAAAAATTATGTTGTGATGACGCTTATGACACCACAGGAATTAGGGGCCTATGATTTCCAGGATGCGGAATACACAGACAGAATCACAAAAACACATTAGTGTGGAATTTCGTGGAATTTGGCAAAACAAGATGTGTGTTGCATGAATTCACTTGATTACCACAGCTCTGATGATAAATTTGTATTAAATCATAAAACACAGAATCCTAAAAATATTAAAATAGAATTTGAAAAAAATAAATAAAATTAATTTTAGGGGAAAAAAATAAAAACGGATTTGATTTATTAATTGATTTTGTCATTCTAATATATACTCAGACACATCATTTTGATGTTACACTAATCGATTCTCTCATTAAGTTAATTGCTTTGTTTTATCGTCGCTTTATGATGGCAGTAAATTCTTAATTAAAATTAATGCAATTCTCATTAGTTCAGGCTGACAATTCTCCTATGAATCTAAATAAAGAAAAATAAATGATAATAACTGTGACCTAATTTATGTGAACCTTTCTAAACTAAATAAGTGACAGTAAGAAAAATAACAACTGTGACCTGATTTCTGTGGATCTCCTGACTATTCACTGAATTACTGAATTAACTGTTCTGCCAAAACAAAGAGGCAGCTTGACCAGAAAGATTCAGCTTTAAGACTGAACAGTAACATGTTCATTAATTATACCAGCTGCACTAATGGCAGCAGGAAGAAATTCTGCTTTGTCAAGCTGACATGTTCTGCAGTGAAAATCAAATGCTTATACATTTCACTGAAGAGTACAAATAAACCACTCACTTCTGTTGAAAATAACAAATAAAATGGGTAGCCAGCTTTTCAGCTCAGTGAAACATTTCAGCTGGTTGTTTTGTTTTGATGCTGTGGTGTCCCTCAAATTTACAATGAATAATGTTGTTAGGCATGATAACATGAGAAAACTGAGCTACTCAATGTTTCACTGAACAAATACGCAAACCATTACCATGTGTATAATATTTTTTTGCTCCGAAAACAGGACTTCACCACTCTGGCTCATGTGTGAAGCCATGTGTCTGTTTAAGGGTTAGTCTGGTGCTGAGTGATACTTACATTGACCAATCCAAAGTAGTGTTCATTAATGGGGAACTGCTCTGGACCAATGTCTTTCTCCAGAGCAGAGGCATTGGTGCCCTGAAATGACAGAAAGAGAGAGGAAAAATAAAAGACTTGGCAATTACACTTTAATTTTACATTGAATATTCATTCTCATACATCACATTTTGAGACAAAGTGAGAAGACTCACAGCTATAATTAAAGGCATTTATGTCTAAAGTTTTCTCTAAAACCCCATGAAGTGACATTAAGCCACCAAAATGGAAATATGAGGAACAAAATCACGATTTACCTTCAACTGGAGAGTGACTCATCTCGTATATGATGCTGCAAGTGACACAATGACCTATGCTTTTTTGCTTTTTATAGCACTACCATTATCAGTCGGTAAGACATAATTATGCCTGGTAAGCTTTCTTAATTTACACGTCAATGCCAAGTGTGGAATACTATCAATAAATACTCATGTTAACACTGAATACAAAGAGGTGTTCTGGTTTTAGTCATTTAGAAACATAAAAAATCTTTTTTTTTATTTTTTATATGTACAAACAATAACTATGTTCAACTCCTGATAACATTCACAATAACTGCAAAAATCCACTGGCAGTTAGGCATATGATTTTTGAAACCATTCAAACTGATACTCAAGGATCAAGTGTTGTAATGGTTCAATTTATCAGCAACTGAATGAGATGAAATTGAAGTTGTAACAGAGACGATACACAAAGCCTTAATAATGGATAGAACAACTAAGCAGGAAGTGATGCTGGATAAGAATCTATGACAGAATGTAACTGAATCAGCGGGACAAGATCAGAGTTTCACTTTAGCCTCAGTACAATGAGACTCTAGATGGTTTCTCTTCTAGTAACACTGAAACCAGTGTTCATAAGATATCAGCCACATTTATGTATTACATGTATTCACTCTATCTTTTGAAATTTGACCTAGAACAGGGTCAGAAATGTCACTGAATGTGAAAAAATGAGAAAGTGATTTAAAGGCATGTCTTATATATTTATTCATATGTAAATATGGTGGTCATATTTTAGCATGTTTTGGCATCAGACATTAGAAGCCCAAGCCATTTTGCGGATCAGTTTCAATGAATGTAGAATGTATTTCAGGTAACAAATTTAATTGAAATACTGTAGTTTTACATATACACATAAAATAATTCATAATAATATAATAATCATAAAAATGTAATTCCCTCAAAAATGGGATTTGGCAATCGCAGGGGACAAATATTGCCCCTCAATTTTTTAAAGAAATTAATACTTTTATTTAGCAAGGATGTATTAAATTGATCAACAGTGACAGTAAAGACATTTATATTGTTACAAAAGATTTCTCTCTCTCTCTCTCTCTCTCTCTCTCTATATATATATATATATATAAAAAATAATAATAATAATATATATATATATAATTTAATAAAAACAAATGCTGTTCTTTTGAACTTTCTATCAATCAATAAAAAAAAGCATCTCAGTTTCCACAAAAATATCAAGAGAAACTGTTTTCAACATTAATGATAATAATAAGAAACACTTAGGCCTACCTTAACTTAACTTAGTAATGGCTGCTGGAAATTAGCCAACACAGGAATAAATGACATTTAAAATATATTAAAATAGAAAACAGATATTTTGTCAAAATTGTTTCTACTGTATTTTTGATCAAATACATGCAGCTGTGCTCAGCATAAAATATTTCTTTCAAAAACATAAAAAAACCTTACTGACCCCAAAGTTTTGAACGGTATTGTATATGGCCGCCCTTTTATAACCCGACATATCTTTAGAACCCGGGTATCACTGGATGACTCTGAATGAGCAGATCAGGTAATGACTAAGCACCACAATCAGATCCAGAGATCAAAGTCATACACCAGTGAAGTCAAGACAGTTGAAAGATGGGAAATAGCCGCTCTCTGTATCTGTGCATTGTCTAGTTTTGTGTTATTAACCCAAACGAGACAGCAACCCTTTTATCTGTAGGAAATATGAATCCACAAAGACCTTCAATTCCAGCACTAATAGATCTTCATTACCTATTGAAATATAAATACGGCATTGTGAAAGACAGACTAAAGAGCTTGAATATTTTAGGTCATAAATAATTAAGTAATAGGCTGCATTTGTTCATGAGAGCTATTGAATCCTCTGAGCTCAAAGGCTTTAAATTAACAGGCATTATGTTGGCTAAACAATGTAAAGATACTTCTGCCAACATTTGACTTTATAAATAGGGAACATTTTCTTGTTGTCTACATACAACTGTCAGCTAGGCCATCTTTGTTTCTGATTAGAAACCTTCCACAGCACATCAATGAGCACATACACAAACACACAATAACATATAAGGCAATATGTTGCCAGACACAAGCACAGGTAATAGACTTATGTTCTCAAATTAAAGCAAAGTTAATTGAGCCATGATTTCAAACTGAAAGACAGGTCTGCAGTTGTGTGCACCAAACACACATTAATCGAGGCCATTTAAGCAGGACTGAACATGGAAGACATAAAGGAGAACATTTCATTAGCTTGCCTTGTATATGTGGTCAATGAGCCACTAAGATGTGGCCCCAAACACACACCGATGAGATGAACAAATGAACCCTGTCCGGTCATTGGTTACATAACTAGCACTAAACAGCAGTCAGACGTTGTGTGCCCTCATGCTGGCAATAATTCACTCTTCCTGTTCCTAACCACATCTAGTTCAAATTGACACAATACCTGAAGTTATCTAAGGATGAACAACTGACAGTGGTTAGAGGCTTCATGTTAGTTTCTGGCACTAAAATATTCAGGCAATGTCAGATATCCCACAGAAACAACTCTGTGAAACTACAGCATTACATAACACTATGGGCTCTGCTCCCATTAGCCATCTTAAAACTTTTAAAATGGCAAAAGAAAAGCAATACAGAGAGTTTAAGTCCAAAATTGTAGGAACTTTCTTGCTTAACGTAGTATAATTACAGTGATGGTGATATTACAAGTCTCCATAAGTCATGTGATAGTTTTTTTGGGGGGGGGATGAACTCCCAAAATTTAAGACATTTTTCAATCAATCTGCTCTATGCTTTGTGCAGTCGTGACATAAAAATGACAAAAGCACTAGACAAATTACTAACAAAATGACTAATACTGAAAATAAAATTAAAACTGAAAATATAAAAACAGAGGCTAATTCTAAATATGAATAAATACTGTAATAGTATATAATTAATACTAACAATAACACATCTAGTTCATAAAAGCAAAAATAATGTGTTCAGCTCAATCCCATTTCAGCTCACAATGCTATCATATGACTTCAGAAGATGATATTGGCTTCTTTTATGGTGTTGTTTCAACTTTTTTGAAGTTTTAAAGAGCCAGTGCCATTTAATTCAAACTGCACAGAAAGGAGCGACCTGTACATTACAACAATTTTCATTATGTGGGGAACTATATTATTAAGAGCAGCTCCATATTAAATAATATTTCAACAAGTAACATTTTTTAAATATGCTCAAACTATCAAAAAGACAATAGAACAATACAGAGACAACAAATGTCTATGCAAAGCACACAGACACTCATTTACATCCCAGGAAGTGAAACAATTTACAGAGAGGCCGCTTAAACTACTTTATCACTGAGACAATTTTTAGCTTTTAATATGCAAGATTAACAACACAGATTACTAACCGGAGCTATCACAACATAAAAAGGGCATCACTGATTCTGTCCATGTTTTCCTTTAAGTAAAGTCAGTTTAAGCAATTTCTCACACTTCTAGTCTCAGTTTATTATTTGAGCAAATAAATACGTCTATTTATGATAGATGATTCAGTACAGTGGTGATCCATGCATACAGCAGCTCATATGGCTTCTTTTATGGTGTTGTTTCAACTTTTTTGAAGTTTTAAAGAGCCAGTGCCATTTAATTCAAACTGCACAGAAAGGAGCGACCTGTACATTACAACCATTTTCATTATGTGGGGAACTATATTATTAAGAGCAGCTCCATATTAAATAATATTTCAACAAGTAACATTTTTGAAATATGCTCAAACTATCAAAAAGACAATAGAACAATACAGAGACAATAAATGTCTATGCAAAGCACACAGACACTCATTTACATCCCAGGAAGTGAAACAATTTACAGAGAGGCCGCTTAAACTACTTTATCACTGAGACAATTTTTAGCTTTTAATATGCAAGATTAACAACACAGATTACTAACCGGAGCTATCACAACATAAAAAGGGCATCACTGATTCTGTCCATGTTTTCCTTTAAGTAAAGTCAGTTTAAGCAATTTCTCACACTTCTAGTCTCAGTTTATTATTTGAGCAAATAAATACGTCTATTTATGATAGATGATTCAGTACAGTGGTGATCCATGCATACAGCAGCTCATAATGAGGTCATGCACCTGATTGTGAGGAAAGCCATTCAACTATCATCATTACGTAAGAGCAAGCCAGCACGCTATCCACGCTATACTCACCATATTACAAATGGAGGCGATGTTTCTGACAGTCATTTATTTTATAATGTGCCCCTCGTTGTCATCTTTATGAAATAAACATGACTGTAACAGCAGTACACTGACAGGCCAAGCTGCAATCCCAACCGAGGACAGCAATCAGTGACCATTCAATCCCCACTGCTCATTCAAAGTGCGAACAAAGCGAGAGATAAACGTCTGCGGCTTTCGTCTAGTTGTTTTCTTCATGGTCACTGCAATTAAGAATAAAAATGCAGGATATATTTATTGTAAACATCTTTGCCAGTTACACGGACTAAACGAAACATTCACATCCTGGATTAATGCTCAAACCCCGCCCACTGGGACACAATTGGTGCTTTTGGCGTCTACGACACGAAAAGCTGCTCAATTGATTGACAGATCGATTCACCAATGAATGTCGAAAACATGCGTTCGAACTTTCGTTGTGGCCAATAGAATTTGTATTTTAGACGCGGGACCAAATAAAGGGTTGTCCCAATGCACAATTCACAACTCCACAGTACATTCAAAGCCCATAAATGAACTTGGAGCACACTAAATGACACATTTTCTGGGTAATATGAAGTACATTCTATACATTTGTGCATATAAATAATATTAGGTCCCAGTAGTTTAAATGCGAAAGTATAAAAAGAGAATTTCTCCAGTAATAATTTGTGAACATAAACACCGTCTCATATGCCCTGCTGCCATCCATTTATTGTATCGCTAGATTAATCAATAATAGTTTTTTTCGAGTTGGATCTTTTCCCGAAACTGAGCGATTTGTTTGCTAATCAGACTGAATCGTCCGAGCGTTTTTAGGAGTCGTTTTTATCTTTGAATGAACTGAAAGAACCGATTCGCTTAAATGAACTGGAGGCAGTCTCTTTAAATATCCCAGAATTCCTCACAGCTCACACGTGTTCATTCATTGCTTCCCGCACTGCACTGTCGCACAAAGATCCCACACGGTCGGTCAGAGACAACATAAGCGCACGCAGGATGGGCGTTGGTAAGTTTCTATGTTTAGATTTGTAATTTTTTTTTTTTTACTTACCTGACGCTATGCTTCATTTTACACTTACACACACACACAGTACAACATGTACAAGTTGTGTCGCAAATAGTCAAGTTTAGTTTACCAGAGCAGTTACAGTGAGCTTTAGAAGTGTATAGAAAGGTATTAAAATAGTTCTTAGAGTAAAACAAAAGATGCTCGATAAAAACATGTTGTACAGCTTGTTGCCAAGCCTTGATCGTAATTCTAGAAGTATTAAGTTGTGAAGAAGTGCCACGTGTTGCCCGGAAACGCACGTGGTGAATATGCGGCCTGCTGATGTTGATTGCATCTGTTTTAATAGATTGTTCATCTGAACCCCCTGACTGAAGAGAAACTTGCCAGTTTCTACGATGTCTTCCCTATAAGGGTAAGGAAGCATTTATTAGCTTAAGATCCTCATTGACTAAAAAAAGAGAGTAGAGAAATTATTTGTCTCATTACTCTAGTACTTGCTTAAAGGAAAGCTCAGCTGTAAAGCAGTAAGCTTAGTATATGTTTTAATTAATTGTTCTTTTTTTAATCTTCATGTCTAGGCTCATATGTTGGTTTGGCCCTGAGGCCACAGTTGTGCTTAAGAATCCTTCTCTAACCATTAATTGGTAAGTGATTTACTTTTTTTTAATTTTTTTTCTCTAGTTTTTTCAACCCCTTTTATTGCACATTCAAGTCCTGTTATGTCTTGAGTGATTAAGACAGGGGGGTAGATGAATTCTCTCAAAAACCTGAAGTTTTGGCTTAACATTCCTTGCTTCGGATCCTGTCGGGAGAAACAATTTTTATAATAGTTAGCCTTGCTAATTGTATTTTAAGATACTTGATAATCAGTCTAAATATGTATTTTGCAGCTAAAGGCAGAGAATGTAAGAACTACAGTCATTAGGTGAGTAACTTGGTCATATCACTGCTTTTTCTGCTTGTATTTCAGACCGCTTGCATTTTTTCGTTCAACCAGTCTGGTCTAGTCTCATGATCCCTCCTATGCTTTGCCCACTGGAGGCTGTCGGTGTTTCTAGTGGTCATATCAGGGGGGTAGAGTGAGCTACTCTTGCTAAAACCTGGGTCAGAGGTCACTTCTCTGTGCCTGGATCCTGTCGCAAGACACATGCATATATAAGAAAATTAAATGCAGGCAGTGTTTATGTAATGTGTAACCTGGTTTGATTTTTAAAGTGAATTTAGGTTTTCCCTTTCTCAACAGATTCCGTTGATGGCTTCATTTTGGGGCACATGTATTCAGTGACTGGTGGTTTGTTCCTCGGAAGTGATGCAACTTGAGTAGAGCTAATTTTATTGTTTGGAGAACGTCTAAAATGAGTTGGGGCATTTGTATTGTAAACCATGTGTATATGTATTGCACAATTGTTTTGTAAGTTATGCGTTGATTGTTACCAATAAAGAAAGATGCTTGCTTGTAGTTTTTTTTCTGTTCTTAACATTGAGTCATGGATCATGATCCATGTTACCAGGAAATGACTGTTTTAGCCATGGTTAATCTGTTTAGCATGGCTTCTATGCATTTTATTTCTTTGGAAAAAGAATCCTCAGAAATTTCAACAATTTAGACTGATGTTTAAATGGTTGGCAGTTTAACTGTTGATGTTTTGCTTTCATCTAAATGGGAGGTTGGTAAATCAAATCTGTTTACAGTTGGATCACTATTTGTCTCCATGTAAATCTAAGACAAAAGTGGTGTGTTGTCATTCAAGACACATTTGGGATAAGTGCCTTAAACTTTTTCTGTGAAGCTGCTTTGCCATGATCATGAAATGCACTATATAAATGTGTATTTAATTGAATTAGGTTCCAGAGTCAAGTGTAGGGCTGAACGATTTTGGAAAATCTAATTGCGAATTAAAAAAAAATTTTTTTTTAACCAATATTGCGATTGTGATTTAATATGCAATTATTTTTTAAAGCTCTGAGCTATAAATCATTGTATAATATGACCAACACTATTAGATTAAACATAAATGTTCTTTTCTGTAGGCCAGGCCTATATGTTACGATGAAATTAGGTGATGCATGAATTGATATGAATGACATTTTTATTTAACAACTACAATCACAGTAGTATATTGACTGATTTGTTGGTTGTCCAACCTTGTAAGCATGTAATGGAACACACCTCTTTACTCTGGCGTGTCACGTGACCGAGTGTAATCGCAGTCTCTGCGATTGAAAAATCGTGGGTTTTTCATATCGCGATATTATCGCAAATGCAATTAATCGTTCAGCCCTAGTCAAGTGTCATTAAAAATGATCTAGATTGTCCTTTTGCTGGAGGTGCAGTGGTTCTCACATGGTTTTACTTCATAACCCAGATGTTACACTGTATATTGGTGATTCCGCTTGTTAACAATTAAATTGTTTTAGAATTAATACTACACTGAATAATCTAGTCTCAATGCAGAAATATCAATATGTTTGGTTTTTGCACTTGTTGAATTTTTTTGGGGGTTCAGGCTCAATGCAGCAGTAATTGGCACCATACAAAAGCTGATGTCTGTGGACTGCACAAACCATGTTTATTATAATTGTAATTGAACCTGTAATTAATGTAATCTGGTTCATATTTCATAGTTTTGTTCATGGATTTAAAGAATGAGGGTGTCATCCTGTCCTGCCTAATTTGACAAGAAATGAATTTGCAGCAAAGGATATTTGAAAGATTTTCTTAACTTTTATATGATAATACACATTTTGCTGTTGTAACTATGCACTGAAAAAAAAAACTGCTGCATTTTCTTTTCACGTTTATCATTTTTCCCTTTGCTGTGGCTGACCATCAGAACTGAACCATGACCCATTTTTGGATCATGACCCACCAGTTGAGAGCCACTGTTGAAATTGTACAATAACAGGACTTCTGAATTACAGCACCCGATAAGGGGATAGAGGGAATTAAGAACATTATATGAACTAACAAACACAGCTTCAGAGCTGCATAGCACAGCCACTCACGTTTACCACATATGTAAAGCGCCTGTCGCTCTGTTGTACAACGCTCTGACACGGCCATATAGGTCTGCCCCTTCAGTGCAGTACCGTCCTCTGTTTTAAAGCATTCTATTGGCTAGTGCAGGGGTAGGCAAGTTCGGTCCTAGAGAGCCGCAGTCCTGCAGAGTTCAGCTCCAACCCTGAAAAAAAAACTCACCTGCCTATAGCCTTAATAAAACCAAAATAAGATGGCGCCGACGCTGATGGCTGCCTCCGTGGCGTGCTCCGCAGTCTACAAATCAGCAGCACAGAAAAAAGAATTGGATGGTGAATATTTCAAATTTTTTGCCTTCTACCTACTAACATGTAACAATAGAACTAAAGGATTTAATAAAGACTGGATATATGAACATGATTTTTAAACCTCATTTCATTGTTGGGTGTTTATTCGTCTATGGCCCTGTGTACTATTTAATTTGTAATAATTACAATGCACAACAGTGGACATACATGCATTACAGGAGCATTCTGTAACATTTGCCATTTTTTCCCCTGTCAAATTCATAAAAATCCCAACCACAGTACAATTTCCAGAACAAAAGAAACACTCAGCTACATACAGAAAACAAGGTCGTCATGTTAAATAACATTATTCATGCTCAATAAATTTGACTTCAAATGCAACATAATGCATTTATATGCATGCTTCGTTCTGTGTTGATGTAAGTTTTCTAGAGGGAGGTATGACTGACGATATTAAGACAGAATGGACTGATGTCTGCAGAACTGAATGACACACTAGTTTGTTATCTAACATGTAGGGTGAACTGCAATTTATGGGCACAGAAGTGATTAATGACTCAAGTACACAGACTGGTTCTTGTACCATTTTTTATGCGTATGAATTCCATTGTGATTGAAGGAACAGACAGGAGGAAGAGGAAATTACATAAAAAAATGTATGGCAATGGAGATGTTAATTTTAAAAAGGGAGAGAACAGTACATTTTTTTTTTTTTGGAGGAAACCACTGGTTTTGCACAAATATGAGCACAGCACCCAAACACTTAAAGACTTAGCATGCCTCCGCACAGGAAGACATCTATTCTAAGGGAAAGGCATCTTTAATTCAAGGAAAGATACTACTGTTTTGAATGTTTTGCCACAGAGGGCTAGTGATGGATGTTACGGAATGTTCCAATGGTCTAAGTAACAATGTCGTGATTGGCAGGTTTTTGCTTGTTGTGGCCTATTTGTGAATCACTTTCAATAGACACATAAACAATTAAAATGTCTGGATACACTGTGCCTGAGTACATGTTGTTT